TGCAATGTTTTTATTAGACAAGGCTAGTGAATCCAAATCCGGATTTCGGAATTTCGGAATTCCGAAATTCCGTCATATTTTGAATTTATAAAAATCCGGAATTCAAAAACGTAAATTCCGGATTTTTCGAATTTAGAAATTCGATTATTTAATTCTTATTTTATTTTTGAAGTTATTTAGAACTGCTTTTATAAAAATTTCAAAAAAAACTTTTGTTTTGTTTTTATATTATGTATTTCTTCCGTTCTAAAAATTTTAATTTTTATTACTAAAAACGTTTTTCAACAACAAAGTTGTCATCCTCAGTAGTATAATACAACAGTTTTTAGTAATAAAAATTAAAATTTTTAAAACGGAATAAATACATAATATAAAAACATAACAAAAGTTATTTTTTGAAATTTTTAGAATTTCGAATTTAGAAGAACTTTTACTATAGATGGCAGCATTGTGTACTTTCATTGTTATAAATTCAAAAAGTTTAAATTTTAGTAGGCTTAGGCTACTGCAAATGCATTAAATTTTTTTTTAAAATGAAATATTAACATTAAGAAATTAAATTGTATGCAGAGCAGACAAAGTAAGTCATTATATTAATTTTATGTTTCAAAAATTTTGTAGACTTACATTGTTATTGTTTTAAATTCCAACCCAAGTATGGTAGATAAATCTGAAGAAACTTTTATGGACATTTCAAAAGAAAGCTCATCAAATTCAGTGTGGAAATATTTTCTACGAGGGTAAACAAATCAGGTGGCGAAATGCATGCAGTGCAAGCAAGTTTTAAAGATATTGGGTGAATGTACAACTCCCATGAACACACATCTTCGTTCTAAACATAACACAGTTTTGAACAAGCGAAAGTTTGATGAAAATACAACAGCTTCAACATCTGACAGTAACGATAGTGTTGTGAGCACAACCAGAAAAACGAACACAATCATTGATTTTTCAATTCAAAAAAAGATGAAACTTTTCCTGCCGTAGCAGCTAGAATGATTGCTTCTGATGGTTTACCGTTTCGTGTTTTTTGTACGTCAAACGATTTAAGAAAATGTTTAACAATGCGTGGATTCGGTGATATTCCAAAATCACCCACCAGCATACAGAAAATCGTGATGGGTTATACTAAAAAAATTAAACAATTGCAAATTGCTGAAATTAATCAATTAAAAAAGAATTTATGCTTTATTCTAACATTGGACGAGTGGACGTCCTCTCGAAATAGACGTTATATGAATGTTAACGTTCATGGGTCGAAAAATATCTGGAATTTGGGTCTTTCTCGAATTAATGGTCGATTTACGGCTGAAAATTGTGTAAAATTGTTAGAGGACAAGTTAGAATCATTTCAGTTAAATATAAGGAACGATATTTCGTGTATTGTAACTGATGGTGCTTCTACGATGCAAAAAGTGGGTAGATTATTACCATGTGAACAAATTTTGTGTTTTGCTCATACAATTCAGATTGCAATTGTAAATGTGATCTACAAACAAACAGAGAAAGAGGTAGATGAAGATGATTATGAGAGTGTCGTAGATCTGGACTCTGATGAAGAAGATTTAAGTGATGATGAAGGAATGCAAGTGGGGACGAGAAATGAATGTGATGTAGAAATTATTGAAAAGTTTACATTGCGAAATGTAATCATGAAAGTTCGGGTAATTGTTCGAATGTTTCGACGTTCCCCTTTAAAAAATGAAGTGTTGCAAAAATATGTGAAGGAAGATCATTGAAAGGAATTGCAGCTATTGCTTGATTCGAAGACTAGATGGAGTAGCCTGATAGAACGTTTCTAACGTTTCATGTTAGAACGTTTTAATCTTTTGAAAAGTTCAATAAAATAAGGCAATAATTGATATCAAAGCGGATACATTTTTGAATGATTCAGAATGGAATATAATATCTAAAGTTTCTAGAAATTTGAAGCCTATAAAATTAGCCGTAGACGCGTTATGCCGTCCTGATGCAAATTTACTTTCTGCGGATGCAACATTTACGTTTGTGTTAGAAAATTTTGATGAAAATGAAAAAATTGGCCGTGAAATGAAAATTGAGTTTGAAGTTCAAATTAATCGAAGAAGAACTGTGGTATCTGATGTTCTTCAATATTTGCATAATGGGGGTAAAACCAAAATTCACAAGAACATTTTGCGTCGCTCGAAAACTGAAATTAACAAAATTATCATATCCCTAATCCAAAGACTTAGTGGTGAAGTAGCATTAGAAATAGACCCGACAGTATCTGAGTCTACTGAAATGGATGACGATAAACTTATCGAATCGTTGGAGACTCAGTTATCCTTGCAGGAAATTCTTCAGCAAAAGATAAAGAAATCACTCTTGGAATCATGGTCAAAAGTTATACAAAAATCATCGATTCATTCCGAAATTCGCAGTGAAATAAAATTTTGGGATAAAGGGGGATTCCGCGGACCGCTTTTGGAAGATCTTTACAAAAGTTTATTAACAATTCCACCAACTAGTGTGGAGTCAGAGCGCGCTTTTTCCGCTGAAGGAGCATTTTCAACAAAAATTCGATCAAGGCTCAACGACAAAACATTGGATACTTTGTGCTTTTTAAGAAGCTTTTTCAAAAATCAAAATGAAAATTGAACTTTCATTTTGCAATTTTATTTATGTAGTTCAAAAATATTTTAATATTAAATAGTTCCTTATTTTGTAATTTGTTTTAATTTTATTGTTTTGAACTAAATACATTTATGTTAAAAAATAATGTACTTTTTTTTCTTTATATTTTTTAAATTTTTCTATAATAATTCCGGAGTTAAACCGGAATTCCGGATTTCATCTCCTGTAATTCCGAAAATGCGGAATTCAGTTTTTTACAAAATAATGGATTCACTAGACAAGGCGCTTGCGCAGAATAACTTCAAATCTCACTAAGCTTAGTGATCAGATCTTACTAAGCTTAGTCGCATTTTATTCTCTCACTTAGTGATTCAGATCTCACTAAGCTTAGTCGCATTTAAAAAGAATTATTTAAACAAGGTAATAAAAAAATTAAAAATTGGAAAAACCCTTAAAAGGTTTTCCAGTTTTAACTTTTTAAATATTTTTTATAGCGGAATAAGGTTTGTAGTACATAATTAAATAATGATTTTAAACTTTTTCAACTTTTCTTTTCTAAAACGAGAGATAATATGGTTAAAAATATGTTTTGACTAAGTCTTTGAATTGCTTATGATGAAAATTAAACGCTATAATTAGGGTAAATTAGGTTAATATGAGCACCTTAAGTGAAAATTGAAATATTTTTAAAAATAATTATGCTGAATCCAAAATATTTGCGAATAAATAATTTTTAGAGATCCCTACTCATGATCCATATAGATATTTAGGCACCCGAAAATTTTTTCTTAAAAGCACAAAGGTTTTAAAAAACTAGTAAAAACTCATATTACCCAGACCACTTGGTAGTATGAGTACTTTAAATTAGCTCAAAAAAAAATAACATTAATTAAGTAAAAAAAAACCAACATGATATTTAGAACTAATTTTTAGAATATAATGATTCGTTATTAACAAAATTTATAAATCAAATTACTTTTAAATTTATAAATCAAATTACTTTTGTTTATAATTCAAGCTACTTTTTGTTGAAACAAAACTCCTAGGATTTTTGCAAAAAAATAAAAACAAAATTAGTTTGTTATTTTTTCAATTTTATCAACTCAAACCTTTGAACGATAAAAATTCAAATGTTTTGAATTTAATTTACAAAAAAATAATTAGTATTATCAAAATATAATATTTTACTATGTTTTGTTTTTATTGAAAAACACAATGGCATATTTGATATTTGAAGAATTCTCAAAATGGCTGTGGATCTTCGAACCAGAATTAAACTTTCTTAGCAACAATTTTATTTGCATTATTTGTTTTTATTTTTTGAATTTATAAATGATTTTTGTGCTAAATAATAATAGAGACACCCTATTTTTTATAAAAATAACTAAAGTTAATATGTATATGAATAATTTTACAAATAAAATTGAGTTACTTTTGAAGTTATTATGCTGTGGTTTGTTTATAGTTTTCAAAATTATTTTTCTAAATATTTGAGCGTTAAACTTTTTCAGTATTCTGAAAAAAAGTTTTATAAATTTTATATGTTTTCATTTCTTTTAATTAATCTCAGAACACAATTTTTTTTTCATGTTCAAAATTCACATTTTCTCAAGTAAAGTTATATAATACAAATTTTTACAAGGTCACAATCTTATAATTTATGATTATTTAAAAAAAAAAGAAAATTATTTATTTATAAAATTGAATTTACTTTTTTTAAAAGATTTTTTGGAAAATGTGTATTTAGGACATCCACCTCAAAGTCAGTAAAAGATGAGTTTTATGCAAAACCATACCTTAATGCTAAACATAACCCAAAAGATTAAGACTAAGAAGTTTTCTTTAAATTATTCAAGGTATTATTTTCAATAATACTTATTTTGTTCGACTCAATTTACAGTGGTTCTTAAATAGTATTTATTATATTTGCACTAAAAGCATTTATTATATTTGCACTTGAAAATTTTATTACAATTTTATTTATTTTTTAAATTAAATTTATAAAGCTGAGTTATGATTTGAATATAGTATTTTAGTAGTTAATAGTTATAAATAACAGTTTTGATTTCAATTTCATTCTTTACTTAAAAGTTATTAATTACTTTCTTTTTTTAGATGGATTTGCATATCACAGATTTAAATCTTCTTTGCAGAGTTTGTGGTTGTTTTATTGGGAAAAATAACTACTCAATTGGAGCCATCCAAAAAGATAAAATTGAAAAGATGTTTCACGTCAAATTAACAGATTTAGAAGGAGTTCATCCTTCAAAAATTTGTCCTAAATGTTACAAAACAATTAACATAGTAATAAAAAGAATGTCATCAACTACTCTGCTTTTATGTACAAAGTGGACGCCTCATTGTGATGACTGCTATACTTGTCATCATGTGAAAAAACTGAGTCAGGGTGCTATTTTTTCAAATTCCCAAATAAGGAGTAAAACAAAGTTTATTGGCCATCCTAAAATTGGCGAAAAGGTTTGGAGTTTTTCTATCTTGAAAGATATGAGTTTGCATGTCATTATGAGTTTGTATGCTTCTTTTATATGAGATTTTATCACAGTTCTGCTTTCTGCGTAACTCGATTAGCTTTCATTGCACAAGATAATGACAGCAGCATCGAATGTTATGCTCTTTAATGACAACCTTAAGGTATGTCTCAGATATGAGCATGTGTATAGAAAGTCATTGGATTTTTTCTTTTTTAGGGAAATATCCTGGAATAGTCCTGATATATATATATATAATATATATATATATATATATATATATATATATATATATATATATATATATATATATATATATATATATATATATATATATATATATATATATGTATATATATATATATATATATATATATATATATATATATATATATATATATATATATATATATATATATATATATATATATATATATATATATATATATATAAATGTAATACGTGTATGCATGTAAATACAAATTAAAATAACGACATGTTTGATAAAATGCAATTTATTTTATAAAGTAGTATTATTAATTTAATTATTTTTAATTACATATATCATACTATTACCAATGTCACTGTTTATATATATATATATATTTATATATAAATACAAACACATATGTATATACATATATATATATATATATATATATATATATATATATATATATATATATCTATATATATATATACATACACATATATATATAGTTATATGACGTTCATACCAAATGGAATGATATACCATTTGGTATGAACTTCATACACCTACATAGGTATGTACCTCCTCTATACAAGATGAAAAAAAATTGTGTCCTAAGATCAGTTAAAAGTATTCAATTCAGGAAAGATTTATCAGAATGAAAAAAAAAAAAAAAAGTTTTTTTCACGCTCAAATAATGAGGTATTATAATTTGAAAATATAAACAAATAACAAATTGTGCTGCAAAATGACTTTCTTAAAATACACGATCTTTAAAACAATAACATGTCTTCAATTAGTTTGAATCATTTTTTCTAAGAAACTAAGAAATCTTTTATGATTTTAGTGAAAGAAAGAGTTACTAATTTGGATTTATACAAGAAGAATATACAAATAACTAGTCGCTGTCTAAAAATCTCAGCGTATCTACGAATTGTAGACATTATTAGAATTTTTACTATTTTGAAATCTTCTTCGCTTGCGTACAATAACCTGGCACTTTGAAACGACCGTGAAAAGCAATTACAACCACTTCTATTTAGGCCTTTAAACTAGGTAATAGAAAAGCTTCAGGATTATGTGTATTTGGGGAATGCCTAAAAAGCCGATTTCTAAAACTCCGAAATGCCGAAAAAAATCGCGTATTAGTAGTCCTGCGATAACCGTAAGAAAAGACAACAAAAAATTTAGTAGGGTAAAGCGGCCTAAATCTGGCCGCGTTCTTATTCTGGCCGATTTTCAGAAGCACTAAAATATTTAATTGAGGATGGAATTGGGCTATTTTAAATAAAAAATATATTAATTTAACCTTGTAATTTTAAAATATGTACTTCAAATTCTTATATCGACTTGTTAATACATCAGTAACATTTTAAAAACATTTCATAAGATTTATGTCTCCGTAAGCTCAATGTTTGCAATTTTCAAACTTGTAGGGTAAGGCGAGGCGAGTTCGTCATGTTTCACTTTAACAAAACGAGTTCGCATATAAATAAGTTAAGTTTTCTAGTTCAACTTGTTTCTCCGCAGTGGCCTTGATCGCAGTGGCCTTGATCGTCAAGGTTCATGTTTCGGAGTTATATAGTTGAGAGAGGGTTGTAACCTCAACTAAAGTAGCCTCCTCGACTGCAGTGGCCTTCATGAACTTGAGGAGGCGAATAAAAATTTAAAAAAAATCTAAAAGGACATCAATTGTTAAACATTTTCCTAGAAAATATCAAATAATGATTTTGGCATAAATGAAAACCGTATAACCACGCAAGCGCAAAAAATAGCACGTTAAAATAATAAAAAAATTATATTACTACTATGACTTTTTAAGAATTTACAAGACTTTTATATGTTTTGCACACAATTTGCACATGTATCAACTCCAAAACATCCTTCGCATGCCCACTGATTGCAATTTAAATAGCTGCACAAACACTACAAAAGCCTTTATCAGTGTTATTATTTAGAATAAAACTTAAAGAACTTGGGTGATCAGAATCAGCTGAAAAAAAAGCCTTCTTTGATTTATTTTTAACTGATTTATTGTGATCTTTTTTTGACTTCTGTTTAACACTGACCACATTTTTTATTGCAGCCTTTTTAGCAGGAGACTCTTTTATTAACTTAACATTATCTAGTGATGTAATGAGAGCAATGTGGCGTTTTGAATGAGTAGGTTTGCTTTTTTTTTCAGGGGAAGGTACAATAGTTCTTAAAATAGATAAATTTAGGTCTCTCTGGTGAATTGTTGCTTTATTAAAAACCTCTGCTTTTTTTTATTCGAAGTCTTTCACTGGGTTTCTTAGGGGATGCAAACCACAATGGTAAAACGCATTAACAATCAATCCTGTTTTTGTAAGTATGTTGGACCATATTTTGTTAAAAATAATGTGAAAGTTGCAACGAAGCAAAGAAATATCATCATTTTCAGCTAAGTAATTAGACAAGGTTTCAGACCATATATGTTTAACTACTATATTAACATGTGTGTCAAGTGGTTGAAGGCGGTGTGTACTATGAGGTGGAATGCATATTATTTCAATATCCATTTCTGTTGCTAATTCAATCGCTTCAATTGTCACATGACACTTGTAGCCGTCCAAAAAAAAAATACTTTTTTCCCACTCACTTTTGTACGAAACTCATTAAAATGATGTAAAAAAGTAATAAAAACCTCTTGATTAATATCAGCTTTTACTGCAATGTACTTTTGTACCCAAAGGAAATTTAGATGCATCTAGAATCTTTGTTTCCTTAAATATGAAAAATGGTGGTAAGCTGTCTCCTGCTGCATTGACAGTGGCCAGGTATGTTGTTAGTGTGCCTCGTTCACTAATAGTTAACTTTTGTACCTCATGAGAACCCTTTAATGCTGTTACCTTAGCAGAGACATTTGGCACAGATGAAAGTCCAGTTTCATCACAGTTATAAATCAAATTTGGATAATTTTTTATGTCAAGCTGTTCATAAAAAGGTTGTAAATCGTTAAAAAATGTCTGAACGCGATTCTAATTAAATGCTTCTGCTCTTGCTCGAGAAAGCCCTTCAGGAATTCTCATTGTCAACTGAGTATGCCTTTTTTCGGAATGAGAGAAACCTATCACGTGATGCCAAACATTTATTATTTCAACTTTTTGGAATGGACTTCTGTAATAAATGACGTCTACACAAGCTTTTGGCATAAAAATAAGCAGCAGATCTTAACCACATTATTGTGAGAGGAAACCCTCTATCAACCAAATAAAGTATCCTGTGAACAAGAGTTTCTTCTTGGTTTTAAAAAAAAATTGTTTTATCACCTATAGAATGTGTTTGATGTTTTCCCCATAATTTATTAACCAATGTTGTACGTGGAATATTAAATTGTTTTGCTGCAGTTGATATAGTTTCTCCATCTATAATGGTTTGCAGAGCAGCCGGAACTATTTCTGCATTATAATTTTTTTTGTCGGTTTGGTTTATAATTACGTACCACTTATATGTTTTAACATGAAAAATAATGATATTAAAATCTACCATAATTTTAAACTATGTTGTTATTATAAAATTTTATTATCTCAAAAAACATTATAAATTAGTCAAAAAGTATAATTTAACATACATATCTACAATACATACATATGCATATTTTTTATTTTATTATATATATAATAAGCATATTATTCTTATGTTTTTTTTTATATTAGTATATATATAAATATAAACATATATATATATATATATATATATATATATATATATATATATATATATATATATATATATATATATATATATATATATATATATATATATATATATATATATATATATATATATAAATAAATATATATATATATATATATATATATATATATATATATATATATATATATATATATATATATATATATATATATATATATATATATATATATATACATACATATGCCTATTTTTTATTTTATTATATATATAATAAGCATATTATTCTTATGCTTTTTTTATATTAGTATATATATAAATATAAACATATATATATATATATATATATATATATATATATATATATATATATATATATATATATATATATATATATATATATATATATATATTTGACCCTCAGTCGGCCAATGTGACGCTTTTTGACTAGTTAGTCGGCAAATGTAGACCCTGTCGATAGGTTAGTTGGTAAAGTTATTCGGCAAATGTCGTTATGGCAGTCGGTAAATTTTAAAAAACGAGGACTTTTTTTTTTTTTTTTTTTTTTTTGCAGACAGCAAAAGTTGTAATGGCACCCCCCCACGTGACCCCTACTCGCGCCGGCCCTGTATATATATTTATATATATATATATATATATATATATATATATATATATATATATATATATATATATATATATATATATATATATATATATATATATAATAATAATAATAATAAGGTATAACTGTAACAACTGTTTTAAACAGTTGCGAAGTGCAATAACATAAGATATTGCACTGTAACAGCTCATTTTGTCTTTTGTTTGTGTTTTAAAAAATAGTTTCTGCAAAATCCAGCTCTGTCTAGTTTGTTTTTGAAGTTATTTATTGAAGTAGCTTCTATTATTTCAGATAGTAAGCTGTTCCACGCATTTACGACTCGATTTTGGAAAAAATGATACCTGAAGGTATTTCTGCTAAAAGGCTTCCTCATTTTGAATTTGTGTTGTCGCAGACATGGACCCTCCTCCAATGCATTTCCACAATCGTTAGCAACCCAATTTATTTTATCGTGGCCATGCTGAATTTTGTATTGTTGAATCAGATCTCCACGTAGTCTACGTTCTTCCAGTGACGTTAATTGCATAATATTCAACCTAGCCTCATATGA